CGATAGACTAATGGATTATTGTGGCGATGGGCAATGAGGGGGTAATGGAAAGAAAAAGAGCTGATAGTAGATACCTACCTTCCTATCGCTACTTCCAATACTGATAGATATATCAGATATTAATAGTAATGGCCATTGTTCTCCCCTCTTCTATTCTCCCAATCAATTATCACACCTCCAGCATCCCACACGCAACCCCCCCTTTCCAGGCCTTAGGATGCAGCTATCAGACAGACTTCCAGGTTTTTTTTTCCTATTTCCCCTCTCGAGCGCGACAACCTGGGAAAGCATGTAAAAGGGCGATGATGACCCACTGCGACGCTGTTGCGTATAGACAAGGAGGTGTTACGTCGGCGGCATCTCACTGGCCAACCATAAGGGATCTCGAGTTTCACTACCTATTTATGAGTGGATCAGATCGTCTGCTAAATTTGTCTCCGCTGGACTTATTAGGCACGGCATTCTTGGGTTTTACAGGGGATCGAAGACTTTTCTCGTCCCATTGTTCTCAGAGGTTGAATTGACGACACATACTCGGTAGAAGCTTCTTTTGAAACTCAAGGTTGAAAAAGAAAACGTTCCTGACCCGTGTTTCTAGGGCTTAGTTTGAGAAAAAAGAAATTTTGGTTTCATATTGTGTTCTTTTCTGATCTCTTATCTCTGATTAGTCCCTTTCTTTTTTTTCTTTTTTCCTTTTCCTTTTTTCTTTTTCGATTTTATTCTTACCGAGTTGTTTTGGGAAAGGCTCCCGTGGCTAAATCTCTTTAGTACTTCTACCTTGACCAAGTTCAATCAAGTTCCAGCTGGTTAGAATGAAGCCCGACCGAAAATAGTGACGGACCTAGACCTTGAATAACCTAGCGATCTTGGTAGTTAGTGCGAATGGGATCCATTCCATGGTCGTTTATCTGTCCCTTCTCCTTCTCCAACGCCAACCATTGTATCAATTCATTTTTCTTTTTCAACTGGCTTCGTACACAATGATATACTTCGTGCGAGTGAAATATCTTTGATTTCTCGAGCAATTGTATGTTATATTATTGACACAGTGCCTTTCGGTAACTACTCTGTACTAGTACCTCTTCTTTGCCGCTTGCAGTCCACGTCACTCCTCGCTCCGTCCTTGTCCACTGTTTGCTACCTCTCCAATCCCAGTGTTTCAATAACTCGTCAGATGCCTGTATCCCTCCCATATATTATATTTATGACTTATTATTAATATTATTATTCCTTCTTCTTTTCCACCCTTAGGGTTTGTTGGTTCCTATCATTTGCAGGACTCACCGAACCCCACCTCCTGAAGTTGCTTAATGCTTCTTGGCAGTGGGCAACAAGTGAGCACTAACGCTGGCGAAAAAGATAAGGAAAGGGGTGGATTGAAAGTCCAGGCTGAAGAAGGAGAGCGTCATGCCTCAGGCTGTCAAGCTTGCAAACTCAAGCAAACGATGTCTTACCATCGGAATGCCACCGACGCCGTTGAGCCGCTGTCTCTCCTCACCACACATCGAGGGATGAATGTGTCTCAGACAGGGACGATGGTTGACAGAAGTCAATGCGGCCAGATCCCCTTGTTGACTGTCATAGTACATATTGATCTAACTCTGAAACAAAGAGAGAGAGAGAGGGAGAGAAAGTCTAATTGAAACCCGATCGGTCGGTACTTTGCGGTCGCTAAGTAGGAAAAAGGGAGAGAGTGTGTATGTGCGTGAAGATATGTACTCATGTCCTCTATCGAGAATCGATAGGTGGCTTCCGAACCAAAAACGGTTCGCCCGGCTTCTCTGCTGGCACGGCAACGCTTATTTACTCGGTATGAGGAGTCTCAATTGTATGAACATCATTACTCTCTTTGTTCCTTGCAGGATGAGATGGTCGCAGGAGATGCTGGGAAGAAGGGGCCGATGAATGCCCAGATCAAGGGAGGGAATTGGGAATGGATCGGAGATTTTGGTTGCATACCGACCGGGACATTCCAAGTCGATTGATTCTGCGTCGTCTGGAGATCGTAAGTACGTAGTTGAAGTACAGGCTCATCTCTCTCACTCAGGTATGCTGGCAGCTGGTTTCGTGAAGAAACACTAGGTTGAGGAACGACGTGAAGAAATCGGGGGTGCCATGCATACTTATCAAGTAATAGGTAGAAGACGTCAAGGTATTCCTCATCCTTCTTCTGGGAATGTCTAGGGCAAGCCAAAAATAAAATAAAATAGACAATAAAACTAAAAAAAAGTGGACGAACGTAAGGGGAGAGTAGAGCTACCTACTACTATTAGAGAGTTGTGTATATGTGTACCTCTCAAGTACCTCAGAAGTATCGGGTACTATTGAAACACCTCCATATATTCCAACAAAATACATCCATGGAGAACCGAATGTCCCGATTCCGTAGTGGAAGGACAAGACGACCGGGAGCGATTGGATGTTTTTGGGGCATTGGCACGTTAGCAGGGACGAATTTGGGACCTTCAAAGATCCACACCAGGGCAACCAACATCGCGACCTCAAAAAGGGCGCCCCATCTGATTTTTCCCCTCCTCGAGATGGAATTTTGGAATTTAATTTTTTTTGGAAATTCTCTCTCTTTCACTGAACTAGTACTTCCATGCTAAAATTACGGCTAATCTGAGATCCATTTCCCCCAGAGTTCCTGCTTTCTTAGTCTCGCTCAGCTAAAGCGATCTAAGCCTAAACTTCCGCTCTCCAATTGGGTTGGCTTCCATTTTCACTTTCGTTATTCGTTCTTCTCCCTTCATCCCTCTCCACCTTTCAGCCGCCCTTCACTCCTCGGTGACTTCACAAGCCTCTTCTTCACTTAGCTCCCAGACCTTGCATTGACCGACGGCGGATTCCATGTTCACGGCCATTTTTGTTTCCATCCAGTGAATCCTTCTCCTGCTGTGCACAGAACCCATGGCTCTCCCTCAGCCTTCCAAATCGGAGAAGACGATCCGCAAAATTGACATCGCTCAGGTATGTCGACACTCCTGCGTTCAATGAACGCTGTACCATATCTTCCGCGGCTTGCGTGGCTTGGAAAAATTTTGACTGACTCGTCGCTCTGGCGTTAGGTATCCCTTAGCCTTCAGGATCGCTTGGGTCTTGCCAAGGTCAAGTACCAGAATGGTCGTCTTCACGGCTTGGACCAGAATGGTGGCCGAAACAGTCTTGTAGGAAGCGACAAGCCTTCCGACTCCTCTTCCGATATCTCCCAGAGTCGATGCGAGACCCCGATGACCTCTCCCCCCTTACGGACCGCGATGTACTCGAAAGAACTGCCCCGGTCGTCTCGTAATAGACATGCTGTGACCTTCGATTCCAGAGTGATGCAGCCGATGTTATCCGCCAGCCGAAAACGTCTCCGGTCGGATTCAATCGCAGACCACCCGGCTAAAATCCCCCGATCGTCATGGAAAAGCTCCTATCAACTGCCCGAATCGTCCCCAGGATTCAACCGTCACCTCGTGAATCGTCATCTTCCCTTTGTCAGTGAGACGGCTACAATTCCCGAGTTATCCTCTCCGGCATACCATCACCAGTCGGATGAAGATAACGATCCGGACCTTCCAATCCACAGCTTCCAAAATGTGAGCTCCATGGTGAGCTCCTCACCTCCTCGAACTCCGCCGCCAAAGCATGCTCGGTTATCTCGAAATGATCGAACTACACGGCATGAAGATGGTGCGGATCTGCTGCTGTATTTGGCCAACTCCCCTACCCCAGCCAGTGTCGCTGCGAAGGCTCATGGTCGGGAGTTTCCCCCATCCACCCCGCCAAGTCAGCATGCTGTTCTGCCTTCCCTGACTCCGACACCTGGAGGTGGTGGTGTCTTCCCAAATTTCAGCACTCCTAACCAGCAATTCAATTTCGCTGATTTTGTAAATGTGACACCTAGTCCAGCGCAACCTGCCTGGGGTGGCCGCACACCTGGAGGCCCTGCCAAGACCCCGCTAACAGCCAGGGACAGAAGAAGGTCTCACTTGGAGAACTTGTTGCCTCCCGGTGCAGATAGCCCCAAGACGAGAGCCAAGCAAGCGGGTGTTGTCCTGCAACTTGGTGGAGAGCTGCGACCTTGAGCTCATTGTTTCGGGCCAAAAGAATCGTTTCTGCTTGTTTATGCTTTTCACGACTACTTATGACTCACGTACGCACAGCTTGTGATTATCTCATGTTCGGTCAATGTCTTGATCGTCGGTCCTCACTCTTATCTATCTCTCTTCGTTTCCCCTTCTTCCCCTTTCGACTTTCCAAATCCCTTACAGCTTTAACCCCAGTGTTGACTGATACAGAATCATGCATTGCTGCTCATACATACCCTTTCTTATGTCTCGTTTAATCGATTCCGCTAGCAAATTCCTTATGTATTCGCCTACTCACCACCTGTTTCAATTAATTGTCGAACGCTCTTTACCATTTCTTGGTTATTACCAGTGATCTCTGGGTGAAACCCATATACGAAACTTTACTACAAAAATTTTTCTATTTGAATTTTACTGTACATACAATTGACATGTCAATAATCAATTACCTCATTGCTTTCAACCTGCAACGAATCCGTGGGTTTGGTAACAAAGACCCGAAGATGACCCCACTCTGAAAATCGCACCACACACAAAATTAAGGAAAACAACACGCGACAACCGACGCGTCGAACTCAGATCCCGTGGCTATTTCGCGTTCCAACCATCCCGAATTAGGATTAGCGCTATGCATGTGATCGATGTCATTCTATATCGGGATTAGCCAAGACTCAACCTTATTATCACGTGGCTATTATCCATTTAATCTACAGGCATGTCGATAACACACTAAGTGGCCGATTTCATATAGAACGGGTATCTGGGGGATCATGAGTGTAGTGCTCTTATTATATAATATACTCATCACCCAGGATGGAACTATTATGGCGATATATTGTGCCTGATACACTGTCCGTTTCCGGTCGATCCAACCGGTACCATATCTGCTGAATCGAAGCTTACGCGCCACCCTCACTCCTCCTGCTATTCTAACTCGGCATCTGGAGCAGGGGGTTCTACTTCTTCTTTCTGGGAACGTTCGAATTGCTTCCTCCAAAGTAAGGCCAGATAATCTGACGTGGTAGCCTCATCAATGGACTTGTCCTCCCGGACGCGAAGAAATCGCGGAAACCGAAGACTAAGACCTCGTTCGTCGCTCACCAGCCCGATGGCAGCCGTGTAAGTCGGGCTGAGCGTGATATCTGCAAAGGCCATCTCCCACACCTCCTGCGGCTCGAACCAGACGTCCGGCTCGCCGTAGTATTCGACATAACTGGGCCGTGAGATCACGTTGGGGCTGCCTTCGGTATATTTATCCTTGTTGGCCTGGTAGAACTTGTCCGTGAAGCCGGACATGCACTTCGTGACGGCTTCGAGGCTGCCGGTTTCGGGATTCCGCACGGCTAAAAGGATGGGTGACCACCATTTGGCTTTTCGGCCTTGTCCGTGCCAGGCCCCTACAGGGATCAGGTCAAGGGTCTCGGATGAGGTGCTGTAGTCCTTTTTGACTTTAAGCCAGGATTCGAGTCTTTTATCTGGTTCGTATGTGGAAAGTAAGGCCTTTCGGCGGCCTCCTTTCGTGGGTTTTGATTCCGGCTTGTCTATATCGTCGTTTGGGGTCTCCGATGGTTCCGAATTATTTGACTTCGACACATTGTCGAGCACCTTGACCATGATGCCTTCGCACTTGGTATCAGTTGCACCTTTAAAAAATTCCAGGACGGTCTCCGAATCGGCAGATGTGGCATCAAAGCTCTTTACCCATGTGAACCGGCTGGGGATTTCCACGAATAAGCTTCGTAGAAGCTCTCTACGTTCGCGGAAAGATCGGTCCAACAGAGGGGTTCCGTTCAGGTACATCAGGTCAAATGAAAAGAGACAAACATTAATCTTGATAGTCCCTATATCAACGTTCTTTTTGGCTCGATTGGTCAGAATCTGGAAGGCTTGGAGTTCCCCTGTTTCCTGGTCAACGGCGACTACTTCACCCTCTAGTATGAAGCTCGACACGCTCTCGCCCCTAATCTGTGGGACCAGGGACACCAGGTCCGGGTATTTCTCTGTCATATTTTCCAGATGACGAGAAAATATCGATACTTTGCCATTTCCGTCACAGTGCACTTGGGCACGCTGCCCGTCATATTTGTATTCGCAGGCAAAGTCCCGTCCTTGAAGTTTTGTCAGCATCTCGGAGAGATCCCGGGTGATGCTGCCTAGCATTGGCCTCAACGGTATATGTAGCTGTAGGCCACATCGTACGAGGAGTTCTTCCGTGACCCCTATCTCGAGCAAACAGGGAACTAGATCATTGTAATCAGGGTGTCTAGCATATGACGCCTTGACAACCTCTTCTGCATTGTTGTAAATCTCAGCCAATTCTTCCTTTTTAAGACGAGCCAACTCTTGCTGCGAACGGACAGCAAAATCGGCCCCTTCCGGTTTAGAGTAGAGAAAAGCGCGGGCGAGTGCGATGAGCATGGTAGTCTTCACGGCTCCTATTCGCAAGTTTTGGACGAGCGTCCTCACGATATACCGGCTTTCTTCCGCACCCCTAGTATCCTGTAACAGTTTCTCGACAATTCTCTGTTTGTTTTCCTGGCTCCCTGTGCCCTTGCTCATGGCAATCTTTTGCAGTGACTGATATACCCCTTTGACCGTCAATGGCTTGGGCTTCATTAACGTGAAGCTTTGCCTCTTTTTAGCTTCGAACGCCACGTCACCGGCGTCTCCAAGCTTATCATAGAGCGATTTAAGTCCTTGGCTGTTCAGGCCATAGATCTTCTTCAAAGCCTTTGAAATAGAAGAGCCACCGAGTCCTAGCTCTAACTCATCATACGGTGGAGAGATTGAGCTGGTTGCTAGCCATACTGCGGGGAGGACACTCGAAGGGTCGGCTTCGATAAGCACACGCAGGAAGTTAACGAGTGTATCCACAATTTTGATGCGACTTGTCGTGGCATTTGCAAGTACAAAGGCTCGGGTTAAGACGGCATATGAAGCATCGCCACCTGTGGCAGCCCAGTGCCCTTTTAACTCTTCTGCCCATTTGGTTGAGTCGAACGTCAAGGGACTCTGATCAAAAGGAACTGCAAGAGAAACGATGTCTTCTGTGCCGGTAGAAGACTGCAATGATAGTGTATTTCTCTTCTGTGTCTTGTTTGACGGCCCTAGATCGTCGTCTTTGGTGTTCGACGGTGTCGCAATGGGCTCACCAGTTGGCGTCTGAGTTTCCGAAGGCGGGGCAGCATCTTGCCGGTTCCATTCTTCTTGGAGCTTGCGGGCGAGAGCTTCGTCGGAAAGAGTTTGGTCTGTATCTTCAGGCACAGTGGACTGACTCTGCTCCGCCTTATCAGCTTGCTTGGCTGCTTGGCCCTTGAAGAATGACGCTATGCTTCGACTGCGCTGGGGGGATGAGACTGCGACCTCTCTTTTGCGCTTTTTGGCCGGGCTAGACATGTTGTGCTTGAGTTTGATAATATCTTCGACGTTACGTATATTGTATTCACCCACGTAATGGGCTCCATGGTGGCCAATTCATTGACAGAAACAGGTAGTGGCGGTAGGCGGAAGCTGAAGCTGCATGGAGCTGAGCTCCGCTTTCCCGCAATTCAACTTAATTCGTCCGGAGGCGGAGTGGTCATTGTTCGCAACACCTTACATTTCATTCCCCTCTCCAACATTACCTGACAATGGCGACTCCAACATCCACGCTATCTCCGCATGAACGAACAAGGGTCGAAGATTATCTAAACGACAAAATTCAGGTGTCGGCCGATTTCGAAAGTCTTGACTCATTGCTGTCTAGTCTTCGCTCCCAGCATGAGCTCCAACGAAAGCAGGTATTATTGTCTCGCTTATGTCTATCACTACATGGCCTAATCAGAAAATTATCTGACGGCCTTGGCATAGTTAGCAGAAGCACAGGAAGCACTATCGAAAGCGACAAAGGCCTCTAGCGACCATGCCGAAGCCACTCGAAAGCGTGCCGAAGCGTTCAATGAGCACCAGGCGGATATCGATAGGCGGTTGAAAGCCCTCACTGGGTCAGATGCGAGCGACGAAGCGGCAAAGCGATTTGAAGCGAGTATAGAAAAGCTGCGTAAGCTGGAGCTGTCAAAAGGATATGTGTCCTTGCTCAAGGAAGCGGAGGAATTGAGGTATTTGAAGCAGTGATCGCGTCAAAACAGAGCATGGGCCGCTAAGACGATATACAGCAAGGAAGCCTTAACAAGCATACAACATTCACCCAAATTGGCCATCAAGCCATATACCCGGCTAAGGACCATCGTCCAATCCTTGAAAGAAGCTCAGCCTGCAGCAGAAGGGGCTGCCCCTCACCTGGTCGACTATATCGGAAAGCTAGCATCTGCATTGAGAGATCACATGAAAACCGACTTCACTAAGCGGCTACAGGGAACATTGGAGGAGATGAAGTGGCCGTCGAAGGACCTGTATTTTCCGGATAATCTAAGAGCACAGTGGAAAGAATATGTGGA